CCGATACAATGCTCGGTGTACCTATTCATACATATATGTATACGTATACGTAGTTGTGGATGAGTTTGTGGTGTTATCTATATACCCGGTATACCTACCGGGGAGTTAAGTCAATCGAGTTGCCAGGATTGATGGATCCTACGTGTACATACATATTGTACACCCTATATGCTTGCATGCCATGGGGATCGGCGTTTGATTGCCTTTGTACACTGACGCACGTACCGAGTCTACGTGTGTCTCTGTGGTACCGGAGTAAATTTTTGTCCCTCGACGACTAATACGAGTTTAATTGCAAGTTGGACGAGTATTGGACGATAAATTTATCGTTAAACACGTATGTAGGTGAAGGGTGTTTGTACGTGGTTTCCCTTAAAATAAGAACTATACAATTTATGAACCCAAATATGTCACTGTTCTCTATATAATATGTATAATATGGTCAAAGCCATTACAAAAAGCCATTTGTTTGTGACCAAATGATTTCAACGTATCGTGCGTACACTCATACGATATGGTATTAAGATGACTGTACACGAGTCGTTTCATGTTACTGCAAATATGCCATTACACTACGCCAAGCATACGTTGTACTACATGTATACTCTATTGTGTATCACGTATAGGGTATATCTCGCACCTCCGATCGGTATTAGTTCGGAGAACAACGGTATGTATGCCTAGTAACGCGTTCGTCGCTCATTCTGTCAGTGAGCATATTATATACATATTATACAATGTTGCAGAATGGCAATTATAGATAAATTGGAAATGGATCATTCAATTTCTTTGGTTTGAAAAAAAAAAAAAAAAAAAAAAAATTATTTTTACTCGGATCTCTTGCCTGGGGTACTGCTCTGATTCCTCCGGGACGCTCGTAAGGGAAATTCCACGCGTACAACCGTATACTTCATGCGGTTGATGCACAGCTCGCGCGCACGCACGTGTCCGCTACAGTAAAAGAAAAAAAAAAAAAAGAAACACATCTCAGCCCGAGGTAAGGGCGTGTTTCCAAGGATGCACGCGAGTCCTGAACTGTTATACGCACTTCGGGGCTTGCACATTCCAGCATCACTTGCAAATCGATGGGTATATACATATACGGTATGTATTTCGGAGCTGCGCAATTGGTTATGTGTATATACGCAATATGTCTCAGGTGCATGGAACGGATCGCCGAGAGCAGATAGTGCCTTATACCTACGTGTAAGCATGTTAAATGGCACACGCGCGAGCGAGGATTGATTGATTGATCGGCCGATCGATCGGCCGGGCGTGTTTTCGCGGACGCGCTCGTGAGACGCGCACACGGGGTTTTATCGGCGCTTTTATACGCGCTGTAGGGAAGAAAGGGGATGGGCGTTTGGCGCTTTACTCGCTGGACGTGATTCGGTTTCGCGAAATCGAGAGGTGTCGGGAGATTCGAGTCGATCTTCACGCAGGAGTTGAAGCAAAGCTTTTTATTATACGTATATAAACATACACATATATATATATACTCTAGATTGTTAGTCATTTTGCAGTATTTTGTTGTATCAGTTTTGCCCAATGCCTGTACGACTTGCTGGTTGTCCATCGGAGTCGATGATTGTATTGGATTGGCAGCTTTGACCAATCGAAGGTCGCACAGTATCGGTATACGCATGCAGCTTTATGGTACACGTGTACGGGCGATGTTCTCCGACTCAAACGACACTCTCGTGTACCAGCTCTATTATCCCCGAGTCGGGTATTGCGGGTTCCGGGTAATCCCCGTGTGAGTGAACAACTGTTCCAAAACACATAGCCCAGCAGAGCGAGCACCGATCAACGATTTGGGAACAAAATCAAACACCGCACTTCCGATCGGTGTGCAGCTGTAAAACAGCATCCACGGCCTAAATCCTGCAATTTCACGCACAGGAAACTCTGTAAAGAGGAAGAGATCAGAGTTACCTTGGAGAGGGAGAAAAATAAAAGTCACCACGAGCCTCCTGGAACACAGAGGGGGGAGAAGTGACTTGGCCGTACACCACACCCGTCGGGGCAAAGAAGATGCTGGAAGGAAAGCAGATACCTATCCAGCTCGTATGTGCAGCTGATTTCTTCGCCACGCGAGTGTATAATTTCATTCGCAAGGGGCATCCGGTGTCCGCTCGCCATGGGACACACACGTGTGTGTACGAGGGGCAATTTTTCCCTCGATCATTGCCTCTACATTTTGCTCCGCTTATTCGTACACGTATATATGGATAGGCGATGGGGTTTCCTACTTTCCTCGCAAGTTTGCAGTGATATATATATATATATATATATATTTATATATATATATGTATATAATGGCATCGTGGACTATGTCGATCGTCTCTGCGCTGTAATAACACGGCTCGGAGCACCAGATCGATCGGCCGATTTAATTCGCCTCGGAGGAACGGTCCTTTTGCCAGCTTCTAATGACGATCTTACACAGTGCCAAATTAAAAGAGAGTGTGGGCACAATTGCAGCGATCTCGAGAGGCACCGTTCGTTTCCTTTTTCTCTCTCATCCTTATATTCTTCTTCTGGCGTTGTCCAAAGGATGCGATTGATGTTGGGTTCACATGCTCGCGAATTGCCGTCATTATACGTATACCGAAAGAGATATAGGGACTATTTTCGCGTCATTGCTCTCTTTGTTGAGCCCCCCCAACGTATGCAGCGCTGCTCTCTGTCAACCTGCACGTGTATGTATATAAGAAGTAGTTTGTATTAATTTATAGGTATATCTCGTTTCACCCTCGACCGAGTCTCGCTCCACTGAGTCACCGGCAAAGGGAACGCCATCATTATAAATATTGTATAGGTACGCCCATCCAATGGGGACCTGCACAAGGAAAAAAAAAAAAAAAAAAGAAATGATCACGCGTTATAAATACACATAAGTGGACAGTCGTTGGAAAAAAATAACGTTCAAAGGTGCACGGGCAGTCTTTCAATCTCACGGGCCCGCGAGAGTCTAACTGATTACAGAAATCAAGTTGAATTATATTCGCAAGAGTACCAAAAGGAGGTGCAGGGCTGGTAGAAGGAAAAGAAAAAAAAAAAAACAAGAAAAAAAGAAGCGAAGGGGGCTATCGTGCGGTCGACACGTAATCACTCTAATTAAGCGCCCTCGAAAGTGCAATGTACATACAAGTACGTGTGTGTGTGCGTATAATAGTGGTTATTCGTTCGTGTGGCTATATACTTATACGATTTCAATGAAAATCGAGACCTTTCCCAGCTCGCGTCGAAGCCCCCTTCGTGTCAATCAATGCGGTAACGCGTGCACGGACATCAGAACGAAATAAGAGGGCAATGGGAAAGAGAGGCTGAGTCCAGAGAGAAATTGCGGAGAAACGCCTTGAAGGTGGTGTTAGTTAAAACCCTGTCTTTTTGCATCTATAATAGTGATAATTTTTTTTTTTTTTTTTGTTGGATCATCGATAATTGAGGGATGATGACAGGGGGGAAGAAAAAAGACAATGACAATCCGCCTGCACTTTCCACTGATGCAAAAGTGCATATTGTTTTGTTTTGTTTTTTTTTGCTCTTTCTCTGTAGAGTCCTTGTTCAACGTCACCGCGGCAAAAGACCGAGTCTCGAGCTAATGTGCATTTGACGAGGGCTCATGCATGCGACTGCACTTAGCTACCGGACTCGGTGATTGATAACCATTCAGTGACAAATCTATAATGGCTGTGTGGATGAAAGAAACCTTGTTACAGTAGGTACCCATGCAGCAACCGCTTCAAGACCCAGCCATGCGAGCGACACGCAAGCATATCCCCTCTTATTTTTTCATCCCCCTCCTCGCACGTGTCGCTTATAACCCATGTACCACAATATACGTATTTATAATGTGTATGTGTTTATAAGGGTGGGCGAGCGCGAGTGAGGCACAACAATGGACGAGTTGCGCAGTTAAGCCGCGGGTCGTTTATACACGCAGAGAGCCCTTCCGCGCACCAGTCAGGGAAAAGGAGTCGCACGCGTCCACTCCGCACGCACACGCTGACGCAACTCGAAGGGGGTGGACGCGCTTGCATGTAACTATATATTATGGTCTGCTTTATTTTCCCACGCGCGTTCAGCCCCCATATAGCGCAGTTTGGATTACCGGCGCGGAACGACTTTTCAGGGTTTCGGGGCATGGTTTGTTGATTTTTATGGGTTTTTGCGTATATATATATGGCACGAGGGGCCCGCTGATCTTTTTCAGTGGGGCTTTTTGTTGCTAAGCAGCTCATTGAGTAAAATATTGATTTTGTGATCGGTAGCTGTGACCGGTAACTTTAATGCATGCTATTTCGTACAAGCCATCACACTGCAAACCAAGCCAATAGAATCAAAAATCACAAGAGGCTGAAGTGGAAAAAAAAAAATTGACTGTCAACGTGAAATAAAGTTCGCGCAGGGGAGAAAAAGCGCAAACACGCGACGCACTGCATTATACATATACACATACATGTAGGTACCCATATAACATATACAAGGGATCTTGAAGGTTTGTCTAACAAGCTCCACGCGTATATATATACCTACCCATGGAGAAGAGGTTCTCTGGTATAGGAGCAACAGAGGATCGCACAGGGGAACTCGTACATGTGACGACGTTCCAGGAAGAATCCCAACAGCGTGTTCCCATCTACTGACGCGTAACACATTGATTACATTGTGTCCTGTCGTTCTCCTCTTGCCACGGCTATATACATTATATAGATGTACCTACAAAACATGCGAGTGTGTGTCTTTTCTTTCTAGTGCACGTGGCCGTGACGGGGGTCACGTGGCTGATTGTGCACACTGTGCCAATACCTTGTTATCGTGAAAAATCGGTACGGCGTTCGTTACCGGAACGCATCGTGATTATTATTACGCCGATCTTTCGTCAACAATGGTACACGTCAATAACCAAGACGGAATTATGTAAGATTTTTTTTTTTTTTCACTCATATGGACTTTGGTAATTAATTTTTTTTCTTCCCAACCGTGTGTTACAGGTGGTTCTGTCACTTTGACGACGACAATTACGTGAACGTCGCGCGGCTGCTGAAGCTGCTCGACAACTACAATCCTCGGGAGGACTGGTACCTCGGCAGGCCATCGATACAGACTCCGCTCGAGATCAATCGCCAGGGCGCCGACTCGACCAAGCGATCGGTAAGTCCTTAATCGGCTTTTTCTCTCGCTCCTCGTACACATATCCTGCACAGAGAGTGTCCCCCCTCCCCAAGTCCTCGATAAAATTGCTCAATCCCCGTCGCGTCCTCTCCCTCCCGCCCTTCCTTTTGTGTTGGCTTGGAATTAAAAATCCCGTCCGAGAGCACGACATGTGAAATTACATTTTTCCAATTATGAAACTGGTATTCATTGGAATTAAGAGCGTACACCCGTGCACAGATACCGGGAGAGGAATTAAAAAGTCCCTGGGTAATGAAATCTTCGAGAGGACGCATCGGTGTGCACATATACGGTTCGGCGAGGGAGATATGGTCGCAAATAATAACGAAGGCATCGCACACTTTGTCCCAAAGAGCAGTGATATAACATCACTGGAAAATAAAAAGAAAGGGGGGGGGGACGCGAAATCCGCGTAATGGAACCACGCCCCGGTAGTAAAGCCCCTCCATACCGATAATTAATAATTATCGAAAAGCCGAAGCAGCAGCGACCGCCGTCTCTGAAGCGTACCACGCACGAGCGCCGTGGGGGGATAAAAAGCGCGTTTTAATGCCAAAGGAAGTCTTAATTGCTCGCAGGCAAGAGCCGATCGGCCGATACGCATCTGTTATATATGTTACACGTAGAAAAGAGACTATATACGAAGGGACGAAGAAAGGGAACACGGAATTATGTTCGCGTTGTAACAAAAAGGCCCGATGTGGCCCAACGGGGTGGTCTTATCGAGGACCCTCGTGTAAGTGTGCGTGTGTACAGTGTTATCGCGGTAGCTCGTCTTTAAAAATCGGTATTTCCCGGGTGCTGATGCGTGCTCGGTATGTATGTATGTACGCACGGCAGGTGCGGGACTATCGTTACCCCAACAGTGGAAACGGCCCCGATGACACTTTGATGCCTCGATATTGCAGCGAAAATTGCAAACGCGCGGTAGGAGATACCCACACAGCCACGCGGGATTATGCTAATGTAGGCATATGTATGCGCGGTGGTGCGAGGATGCTCACGTACGGGCATTTAACCGGTGTGGTATAATGCCCTCTGCTGCGCGTATAATGTAATACTTACGCGATGCACGTATTGTGCGTTATAGTTGTTTATTTGGCGCATGCATGCGTATATGAAAAAAAGTTGCCGGTGGTGGTGGCGGTGGTGGTTGTCGGGGTATTTTTTCGCGTTGGCTCGGTTAAATATTGGATTTTGCGCGTTGCGAAAAAATTTTTTATCACCCTCTGCAAAGTCATAATTTTGTATGAATGATAAAAGATGAGTCACTCATTCGTATGAAATGTGTGGATGTAGGTGCATATACCTTTGTTTTGTTTTCCTGAATTTTTTGAATAAAAAATCAGACTGACAATACTATTACCCCTTGATTTTCCGCTTCTTCCATGAAAAAAATCACAATCATCGAAACCCTTTACTTTTCCAACGCACACAGGGCCATTTCGGGGCCATTGGTTCCCCGTTTCGTTGTATCGGTGGGAACAATAATCCACACCAATCGGAGCAATCATTCGATGTAATAACAACAGCAACCAACGCATAACTACCATAATCTCGGTTGTACCTCCGATCAACAATGAGGCTTATTAATATCTCCCCCTAATCCATACCGCATATAGTTCCAAACGTGTAATAAGGATGATACCAGTGTACAGTAAAGTAAGAAAAAAAAAAAAAAAAAAAGATAGTAGTAATAACAATAATAAAGTAGCTGGTAACAACATCGTTTCAGACACAAAAGCACATATACACAAGGATCTTAAGTATATATTTTTCCCCGATGCTCGGACGAGAAATCGCGGCAAGTGGAGCAGTGGCAACAGCTATGCATGTGTACACCATATACGTATACGTACACACACGGCCACGAGATACATATAATAACATTCGATTCGAGAAGCCGATAGGTATCAGCCGGGCCGGTCTAACCAGTATGCTTATGCCGTACGTATATATATATATAATATAATGCACGGGCGTGCAGGCATTCCTCCTCTTCTTCTTCATCCACCTCCTTATTCTCCCCATCACGGGTGTATATGATATTCTCGGTTGACGCGAATTATACATATACGTGTAGTATCGATGCGGAGGTCCGGATACGTATATGTATATATACCTCTCATACCTAATATATACACACAAAAGTTGGTCTGTCAAATGTATAACGCGTCGATTGGTTTCTGTAAGTAGTTATTGGCCCATCGCTCCCCATGTACACGCTAATCTTGTATTGGTATTATATATATTTGCTCCTGTTGTTAGCTGTTTTAATTTCATGCCCATACGAGTCTTCTTTTTCTTTTTTTTTTTTTTTTTGGTCGAGCTGACGTTTGATTGATTAAATTTTTTCAATCTTTTACTCGAAAGAGTTGATCAGGGTTCCTCTTACGGATACGTCATGCATATCAATGATAAATTTTTGTGTCCATTTGCTCCTCACCATACCACAAACGGCTCATATTTTCGCGAAACAAGAGTATATGCTTTTTGGTAAATTTTTCCCGCAAATACACGCCAAAGAGTTTTTTTCTTTTTCTTTTTTTTTTTTTTTTTATAAATTTGGTCGGTTGATTTGGTATTTTCACAAACAGTTTTGTAATAATTCGAACGTAAATGTCCTTTTTGAGTGAAAGACATTGCCGTATTTCAACAATATTCAACCCCAACGGCATGAAAACCCCCTGCCATCGCCCCAGAAAACAACAAAACTAATGCTTAAAAAAAAAAAAAAAAAAGCCTATTCTGCAAAATTTCAATTTAACTCGTACAAGTGTACTCGAAACTCGCTAATAGCTCTGCAAAAGCCCTCCGTTCCATCGCCAAGTGTACATGTATACAGGTATATACCAACCTGCCTCGTATAACGCCGCTCATAAAATTCCTAACGCGCAGCTGCAACCTATAAGTACCACCGGTTATATTTTTCCTCATCTGACTTTTCGCGCATTCGCGGAGGAAAATTCATCAGCAGCTGCGAGCTGCTTCGTTTCCCCCCTCAACCGATGGCACGTCACGCCCGGGCTGGTGCGCCACGGACGTATAACATTATATGTATGTATGCACATGTAGAGGAAAAGGGGTGATAGTATATACAGGAATTAGACGCTATATACCGGCAGCCGAGGCCCGTATCGGCCGCCAGATCTCTCGTCCCTCCCTTCTTCGTTCTCCTTCCCGCTACACGGCGCGCATATGCAGGAATACCTTATGGGTGCACGTATACCACGTATAATATTGCGCTCTCGAGCGCGCACCGCCTGCGCATATACGTCTACGCGGGGCTTCCATTTTATATTTGCGCGCGAGCGTATGATAAAAAACAATTTAGCGCGGAAATTATGGACGACGAGCGCCGTATGTTTCTCCCGCCCTCCGGGCTGGGTGGCAGATGCCCCCGAGAGATACGTTCAAAGATATCTGCTGCTGTTGGGCGTGTGTTTACCGCGTTGGCTGTACATGGTGCGTGCACCGCGTTTAGCTTGGGTGGTGATAAAAAGGAAAAAAAAAAAAAAAATCATCGGTATGGGTTTCAGGGGTGCGTGTATCACGTGTTTAATTACGATTGCGCGGCTCTCTCGTACCTCGTATATAAATTATTGTACGTGTGCGCACGAGATCTTCCTGGGGAAATTTAACGAGTTTGCGGGAAACGGGGAATCCGGGTGGGGCAGTGAAGACGCGGGGTTTAACGCTCTCTGCTGTGAAATTTACGGGATTGCTCGTTGCAACAGAAAAACCAGGGTGGTTTGAGCACACGTACTCGCGGTTAGGATGTATACTTGATTCAGCCAAAGCGACCTCATCCAAAAAATAGCCACCGATTTTTGTGACCGACAATCATCACGAGGGTTGGGAAAAATCAGGCGTCAACTAACGAAGTCAAGCTCGTGAAAGTAACGTCAGCTCACCGGGGAATCATCAATCAGAGGGCGCTGATTTTTCACGGAGAGGTAATTTCAATTTTCACCGCGAGAGACGAGAAAATATCAGAGGGGAATGCCAGGCGCTCCTCCTCTTGAAGTTCTCGGCGTAGTAAGTGTGCCAAGGGGTGGGCTAAAAGGCTACCGGAATATAAAAACTCCTCTCGAGAGGATAGATAGCGCGACGGAGCGAGAATTCTCCGGCTGCGTGTACCCACGGCAGTGTATGGTATGGAGATAATCCGTAATGCATACTCGAGCTTCTAGTTTAGCGCCGTGTGCCGAGAGGTCAAAGCAACAGAGAGTGCATTAGCTCTTGCGTACGTATATGTACTGTAAAAACGGGATTTTCGGGCCCTATCTTTTAATGGGCAGCTCAAACGTGGAGATTTTTTAATTTTTTAACGAGTGCAAAAGATTTTAATCCCCAAGGAGAAGCTGTAATTGATGGGGGGAAGCAGGAGGATCAGCCCATATATTATATATCGTAGATAATAGCACTCGTTGCGCTCGTTAAAACTAGTTTTCCGAACTAAGTACGCGTCAATTGAACTTTACGCGGCTCGTACACGCGCGATGCGTGCCGTGATTATTATTACGGGCATGATACATACATGTGGCTGTGGTAATTTCCTCTTTCGAGAGAATCCGAGGTTAGTGGCTTCCCATCGCGTCCTCGTCATCGCTCGAGCTCGTATCTTTGCAATAAAAATGTAGGTACTCTCGTCATTCCGTAAAAAAAAAAAAAAAAAACCACCGTAATGTGATGCTACGTTAGATGAAAAACAACGCGTGTGTATCTTCGAGCGGGCTCGTCTTCGATCACGGGGCAAACTCAATTTCATCGATTCGAAGAGAGTACAGAGACGAGAGAAAGAAATCTGGATACAGCACAGGAGGGCTCGTCCTCAAATATAGGGATGGGACCTTCCCCAGAGAATCCGATCGTCACTAAACGCCATTATCTTGTCCTCCGAGGGCGCCGGGCCATTTTGCTCACTTGCACTCACACGAGTACAAATATGTCGATCGCAGCGAGAGAGAGAGGGAGTA